GCAGGGAGAGGAGAGGCAGAAGCAGACTCCCCCTGCTGAGCAGGGAGCCCAATGCGGGGCTCGATCCCAGGACCCTGGGATCATGACCTGAGCCAAAGGCAGACGCTGAACCGACTGAGCCACCCAGGCACCCCTATTATATTTCAATTAAAAAAAAAAACAGACAGTAGGGGCCCCAGGGTGGCTCACCCGGTTAAGCGTCCAAGGTGCTGGGCTGCAGTGGTGGGTGACCCGGGTACTTCTGTGTGCCCAGGCCCCCACTCAGCCAATACAAGCGTCTCTTCCCTTGCATGATGGTCCTCTGTTGTGACTTGTTGGGTCCCCTAGAAGCAGCTGAGATGACAGGCTGCTCTGGCCACATACTCACTTGGGCCCCAGTGTCCCGTGGCCCCATGGTCCAGTTTCGCTTCATATTCGGAATGATGTACATTTCCTGGGGGGACGGCACAGCCTCGCCCCAGGGCCCTGCGGCTGTGCTAGACCCTTACCGGTGCTTGCCGGAAATACAGGACATCTCTTTCTCTATCACAGATACTTCCAGCCCCAGGGGATCTGCTGAGCCTGGTGGACCAGGAAGGGGCTTGCTTGCTCCGCAGTCCCCGCTGCAAAGCCTCTTCCTTGCCCTAGGCCCTGAGCACAGCCGGCAGCCTTCTGTGTCATCCAATAAATGTGTCACAGTAGGGTCCCCCAGGGCGGAATATGCTGCTTCCCAAACCCAAGGAGACCTACCAAGTTCCTTTTCTCATGGTAGGAGGTGCAAAGTGCAATGACCTATACTAACTTCCGAGGGGATGTGCGACAGGTCGCGGAGGGGACGAGTCCCTGGCCGCCCCCCACCCCCCCGTGTGCATGTCTCAGCAAGGCCACCGAGGGTACTGGGCGTTTCCTGCTCCTCTGACCAATCACACGACGTCGGCCCAAGACTGGACCGAGGTGGTTTGGGGGGAATGCCCAGAGCATCAGGGCCCCTCCCAACTGAGTTATGGCAGAGAGAGTGGGACCCTTCAAATAGTCCTGGGGCGAGACTACACGTGTAATGCTGTCCGTCCGCCAGGAGTGCGAACTGCTCCCCGTCCTCTTTTCACGCAGGAGAGGAAATGAAGCAGCCGGGGCTGCGCGTCGGCCACTCGAGCCGGGAAGTGCGCGCTGGTAAGTGTCACGCCTGGTACAGCCACTGCTGGGAGGCGGGGCTCCTCGGCTCTCCGCAGGGGCCAGCCTGGTGAACAGCGTGGGGACGCGATGAGCGCCACCGCCCTCCAACAGCCAAGGCCTTCCGTGCGGCAGCTTCCTCCCAGGCAATCTCGTTCTTTAATGTACTCGCTTGGTGACTGGGTAACCGTTCTAGGAGATGCCACTTGGCTTTTCTCCCCCAATACCTCCCACTCTCTAGGTCAAGGAGCCAGTGTGGGGACCTGCCTGTGTCAGAGGGTCCCCAAGTCCAGCCCGGGTCCCGTGATGTGCTGGGAGAAGCCCCAGGACTCAGCAGTAGCGATGCTCCGAGTACGACACTCAGTGGAGGCCATGCTGGATTCGGGCCTGTGGGTGCAGGGCAATCAGCACAGGGCAGAAGGCACGAGGGGTGGAGATGAGGGAAGCAGGCGCAAGCTCTGGAGTCACACAGGACAGGCATCATTCCTCCAGCAATAAGATGTGATGACGCGTGTGAATCTGGCCGACCGGGAAAGCTCACCAGAGCCTCCGCACCCCGGGTTTTTACTGGGGGGGCTGGTCATGTAGGTACCGCCTGTCTAGCAGGAACTGCAGTTCCAGACGCCCCAGAGGAGAGCAGATGCTCCCCATAAACCCCAACAGGTTAGGCACAGTGGGGTCATTCTTTTCTTTTTTTTTTTTTTAAAGATTTTATTTATTTATTTGAGAGAGAGAGAATGAGAGAGAGCAAGCACATGAGACGGGGGAGGGTCCGAGGGAGAAGCAGGCTCCCCTCCGAGCAGGGAGCCCGATGCAGGACTCGATCCAGGGACTCCAGGATCATGACCTGAGCCGAAGGCAGTCGCTTAACCGACTGAGCCACCCAGGCGCCCCAGTAGGGTCATTCTTATCGGTTAATGGTGGGAACCCTCCTGAAACCTAAGTTAACGGAGGTCAGCCAAGGGCCAACCCTGCAAGGACAGCCGCATTGTGCAAACTCTGTTTCGCACCATGCCAACCGCCCAGTGCGACCGGCCAAGGATACATCTAGGAACAAGGGAAATGACCCAGGGCTCTCGAGCCCGGCTCATTCACTGTGAAGTGGGACTTGGCTAGGACTCTTTTTGGGAGGCCCAGAACACACTTGGGCTTGTTACCCGACTCCCCATGGCCGCTGTGCTCTGGGATGGGTGGTAAGGGACGGACGAAAGAACAGGGTGCCTGTGGAACAATGGAGAGGGGAAGAGGCAGAAATAATAAAGCATAGCACACACCTGTCAGAAGCCAGGTGTCAACGACAACCATGATGGTTGGCGCCATCAGAATGCAGGGTCTGGGGCGCCGGGGTGGCCCAGTCAGTTGGGCGTCTGCCTTCGGCTCAGGTCATGATCCCGGGGTCCTGGGATCGAGCCCCACATCGGGCTCCCTGCTCTGCGGGGAGCCTGCTTCTCCCTCTCCCGCTCCCCCTGCTTGTGTTCCTGCTCTCACTGTCTCTCTCTGTCAAATAAATAAATAAAATCTTAAAAAAAAAAAAAGTGGCAGGGTCTAGAGCGATAGCTCTCAGAAAGTGGGGTACCTAGTGACGAGAGAAGTAGGCAGCTGATGGGGATACACTCAGATATAACCAAAGGAGATCAAGAATGGACAAGCCGAAAGCCAAGTTAGCCAACCCAGTGGGAACTCACGTCCCTTGCCCGTTTCCAAACCCAAATCAGTGCTCAGACCCAGAACCCACCGACAGAAGCGGAGGCCAGGGGTCCTTGTGAAAACCTGTGACACCATGGCCTGCGCCACCCACCCCATCCTCCCCTGAAGGGATGTGTCCTGTGTACTCCGGTCACTGTCTGCTCACTGTCAGCTCAGTGGTTTCCAGGGGGAGGGAGCAGGACAGCCAGACCAGCTGGGCTGCCCTTTGTTTCCTCCTTCATGGGTCTGGTTCTTTGAGCACCCACCCCATGCCGAGCCTGGGGCCCAGGCAGAACACAGGCTTCTCCTTGTAGGCCCTCCCGGAAGGGTGCGGAGCTAGAAAACCCACCAAGGAAAACAGAGAGGGACAAAGGGCAGCCAGGGAAGGGTCTCCGGAGTCCTGGCGGGTGCCTAAGGGGCACCAGTGTCCGAAGGGCATTAGGCTGAGCAAGACCAAGGTCAGAGCCATGAATCAGTGAGGAACTCTGCTGGTGGAGCGTGGGCTAGGGGCAGGCTGGGCTGAAAGTCAGGAGCAAGATGTGCCAGCATCAGAGGTCTTCCCTCCCTCCCTTCCTTCCTCCCTCCCTCCCTCCGTCCCTCCCTTTTCTCCCTCCCTTCCTTCCTTCCTTCCTTTTCCTCCCTCCCTCCCTCCCTTTCCTTCCTTCCTCCTTTTCCTCCCTCCCTCCCTCCCCTTCCTTCCTTCCTTCCTTCCTCCCTCCCTCCCTTTCCTTCCTTCCTCCCTCCCTCCTTCCCTTTCCTTCCTTCCTTCCTTCCTCCCTCCCTCCCTCCCCTTCCTTCCTTCCTCCCTCCCTTTCCTTCCTTCCTCCCTCCCTCCCTCCGTCCCTCCCTTTTCTCTCTCCCTCCCTTCCTTCCTTCCTTTTCCTCCCTCCCTTTTCTTCCTTCCTCCTTTTCCTCCCTCCCTCCCTCCCCTTCCTTCCTTCCTTCCTCCCTCCCTTTCCTTCCTTCCTCCCTCCCTCCCTCCCTTTCCTCCCTTCCTTCCTTCCAAAGCCTACCGTGGTAACCTGTGGAATTCATGGCCCTTCTGATGTGAAGGGCACATGACACTTCTGTGCATTCTTGTCAAAACTGAGTCTAACCTCATTCTAACCATGTGACAACATCAGACAAACCAACCATTCTACAGCAGAATGGACTGGCGGTCCCCAACAGTGCCGAGATCATGAAAGAATAAGACAGGCTGAGGGACCGTCCAGTTGTCCCAGACCAGAGGAGGCTAAGGACACATGATCCTCCATTGGATCCTGGACCAGTAAAAGGACATTATGGGACAACTATTGAAATCTGGATAAGGTCTATAGATTAATAGTCCCGGATCAATGTTACTCTCCTGGTCGTAATCATTATACCATTGTTACATAACATGCTAGCATTTGAGGAAGCTCGGTCAAGCATATACAAACATTCTTTGTACTATGCATAAAAACAACTTCATTGAGGTATTCAGTTGGCCTTTGAAAAACACGGGTTTGAACCGCGCAGGTCCACTTATACACGGAATTTTTTCAATAAATACAGTATAGGACTGTAAATGTATTTTCTCTTCCTTATGATTTTTTTTTTAAGATTTTATTTATTTATTTGACAGAGACACAGCGAGAGAGGGAACACAAGCAGGGGGTGGGAGAGGGAGAAGCAGGGAGCCCAATGTGGGGCTCGATCCCAGGACCCTGGGACCATGACCTGAGCCGAAGGCAGACGCTTAACGACTGAGCCACCCAGGTGCCCCCGCCACTCCCCTTTTATTATTTTTTTAAAATTTAGCTTATCGTCTGAGTTCTGTACTGTTTATCATGGTCTGTTGTTCTGAAGTTGTGGTTTCTTCTCAACAAAATGGTTCTGCTAGCTCTTCCACTCCTCAGAGGTCCTTGATGAGCTCAGCTTCCAGAACGTTCCTTAGGGCCCTGTAGGGCCTGTAGCACGGAGGGAATGGTCCAGGGTCACAGAGGCGCATCCTGCAGGGGCTCAGGGAGGGACTTTTCTGCTTCCTTCATGATATTAGCACCTCAGGGCCGCACAGGAGGGTGGCTCGGTGGGCCGGGCCCGGAGGGGCCTCGGGCGAAACCTCGGTCAGCCTGAGCAGGCCCAGCCCAGGCAGGGCCCTGAGAGGCTGGGTGCGGGCAGAGGGAGGTAGGTGCAGATGGAAAGGTCTGGGGAGAGCTCCAGGGGTGGAGACCCCACTGACGGACGGCCTGGACATCCGCCCAAGAACTTCCTCAGAAGCTGCTTGTGCTAGGCCTCAGCTTCCTGTTGCCGGCAGATCGGCCTGGAAGGGAGGTTATCTAGGCCTCAAAGGAAATGAGGGTTTGGCAGAGAGGAGCTCCTGGAACGTGTGGAGACCCACAGACACACATGTGAGCTCCCACACGCGGCCAGCACAGGGTCCCCGGGAGACACAGGCCATGAGGGCAGGAGACACGCGTGGTCCACGCAGACGGCCCGGCGGGGGCTGGACGGGAGGCCAGAGCAAGGGGGCTGTGGCCAGGACTTTCAGGGAGGAAGGGGGCTGAGCGGCAGAGCGAGAGCGAGAGCGAGCGTGAGCTGGAGGGCACGTCTCCGGTCTGTTTCCGAGCTTCCCTCCGTCATGTCTCCACCACGGAGTGTCTACTGCACTCAAGGCAGAGCTGGTGTAAAGCAGGGCGCGGACGTGGCGCCCCACCCCTGCCAGCGCGGAGCCTGCAGCGCCCCCTGGGGAGCCGCTGGGTCCCTGATGGCAAAGGGCATTCCTTGGGCACCGGCCAGGCCAGGAGAGGGGCGAGGAAAGGGGCTCTTGGGGAGCCCAGCAGGTTACAAAGCTCTCAGGCTGGAACCCAGGCTTGGGGGCAGCCAGGAAGGAGGCCAGCTGGGCTGTGGAGTTACTCTCAGAAAATACATTGTAAGCCCTAAGGGGTGAGTGTGGGAGCAGCTGAAAGGTCGGCAGTGATCCTGTTCTCGGGCTGTTGAACGCAGTGGCCTGGTAGGAGCAGGATCCCACGATCCTCGGGGGGCAGGGCATGAGTTAGGAGCCAGGAAGGAATGTCACCTCAGTCCCCCCTTTCTGCACCTGGCGCTTGCGCGAACATCCCGCTCCTCCCCTATCCCATGACTGACTCCCTGCATGCCTACGCCCAGGGGAGAATGCAAGCCCGCTTCCAGGTATGTGCCATCCCTTTGTACTCCTTTCCCACGCTTGGAGGCATCTGTCCTGGCTTTTCTGATAAAAAAACAAAATAAAAGCTATGTGCGGGATTCAGGGGCGGCTGAATCTCTCCCTTGCATAGGCAGCCCTGCACAGCTGATCAGATTGCTGACTGAGGACCTTATCTCAGGGCGCCACGACCCTGGGTGGCAAGGACAGAGCTCCTGAGGTCCCAGGACGCTGATGTGGGGAGACTCCCCCAGAGTGACCAGGCACAGGGTGCCGGGGCATCACAATGGCCCAAGACTATATGCAGTGGCGGTCGCCCCAAAGACCCGGCCGCTCCGACCCTCCCGCAGCCTGGCCTGCTCGTGCGTGTGTATCAGTCTGGACTCTGCCACTGCTGACCAAACCCCTCTGACCAGCCTGAGCCGAAAGGAGAAGTGGCTGTCTTTTTTGTTGTTGTTGTTATGTTAATCACCATACATTACATCATCAGTTTTAGATGGAGTGTTCCATGATTCATTGTTTGCGTATAACACCCAGTGCTCCATGCAGAACGTGCCCTCTTTAACACCCATCACCAGGCTAACCCATCCTCCCACCCCCTTCCCTGAGAAGTGGCTATCTTACAAAACGGAAAGGCTGCCTGGCCAGAGGGCCGTGCCAGGCAAGGTGGCCCCTGGACCCGCCGCCAGGATAGTGTAAGCTTCTCCAGGACATCAGCCACCTCTCTTCTCCAAGTGTGGCCTCGTGATGGCTCTCTCCTCCTCAGGGTGGCCAGTGGCCGTAAAGGACCCTCAGAAATCTTCCTCCCTGCTCTGAGTTCCCTTTCCCAAAGTTCTAAGGAAGTTTCCAGAACTGCTTCTCACCCTCTTGAGTTAGCCTCGGCCGGCAGTCAGTTCTGACTCACATGTCCATCCCTCGGGCCTTGGGGGCGGGGGTGGCAGGCAGCTAGCTCTGTCCACACCACAGGACCTGGGAAGGGGAAGGGTTGGGACCTCCCGAGGGAGGGACGCTGGGCAGGTGGAAACAGCAGGTGACCGTTCTGGGGTCAGAGCCCCAGGAGAGCATGGGCTCGACGACGATCTTGAGTGGGCTGAGCCCCCTGCAGGCCGGCAGGGCCGTCTTCGGGACGGCCTGTGTGGACGGAGCCCAGGCAGCTGTGAGGCTGGCAGGCATCAGGTTTCCTGAAGGGCGCAGGGATGTGGCTGCGCTCAGTGTGGTCTGGGTGCGGGGACCGCCCCGCATCAGGGTTCCATGTTCCAGCACAGCCCTGGTTGGGCCACAGGGAAACAGGCATATGTATGGGGAGTGGGGTGGGGTCGGGGCTGGGAACCCTCGAGAAGCCCGTGATCTGTGCCCCGAGGAGAGATGACCGGGACAGGGCAGAGCTCGGAAGGTGGCGCTGGGGGTGGATTTGAGAATGAGCAGGACTTGAAGATCAGTGGAAAGTGGTAGCAGTGGGGGGGTCTGGAGGGTTCAGGGCAGAGCCTCTGGTTTCCTGAAAGTGGACCCAGGACAAGGGGAGATCTGGAGAGCCAACTGGGACTTGCTGAGGGTGCAGGGCCTGGAGGACGCAGGGTCGACAAGGCGGCAGTGTGCTCGGGTGACCGCATGGGCTGTGGTCACAGAAGGGGTAAGAACGACCGGGAAGGGGCGCCTTGGCGGGGGGGGGGGGGGGCTCAGTCCTTTAAGCGACCGGCTCTTCGATTCGGCTCAGGTCATGATCTCAGGGTCGTGGGATCGAGCCCTGCATCAGGCTCCACGATGAGTGCAGAGTCTGCTTGTCCCTCTCCTTCTGCTCTCCCTCTCTCAAATAAATAAATAAAATCTTAAAAAAAAAAAAAAAAGAATGACTGGGAGGAAGTGGCCGGGCTGTCCCCAGCCCGCTGCTCCATCCTTCCTGGGGCTCTGTCTGGCCCTAGTTTCCGCCCGCCTTGCCTGCTCAGGCTTCTGCACTTTCACTGGACTGTCATACCCCTCCCTCAGGCCCCCTCCACTGAGAAGGGGCGGGGAGAAGGGCCATCCTTCCTCCAGGCCAGCCTCTGAGCTGATAAGAGCTCCCCAGTGACTCTCTTCACACACCAGCTCGGGGCCCCGCCGAGCAGCCAGCACCATGAAGGACGAGGTGGCTCTTCTGGCCACTGTCACCCTCCTGGGAGTCCTGCTGCAAGGTGAGCTGGCTCCTGTTTTGGGAGGGGAGTGGGCCCTGGACTCCTGCAGCCTGCCTTCTGCCCTGCAGGCCCTGGGGAGGGGCTGGAGGGCACAGGGCAGGGGGAGGGGCAGAGGCAGGGCCCCTAGCCCAGACTCCTGGGGCCCCAGTTCTTCCCACCCCAGTTGAAGGCTGAGAAGCTTACACTGTCCTGGCGGTGGGTCCAGAAGAGGGGCAGCCGTGGGCCTGGTGCAGCCCTACTCCAGCTGATCCTGCCCTCTCCCACTGGTCCCAGCAGGGCCCAGCTCTGCCTTCAAAGGCATCCTCTCTATGCTGGGATCCACATGGAGCTGGACAGGGTTGGAATCTGCTCCCTGAGCCCCCAAAGGGGCCTGTGCGGTGGCCTTTTAGACTGGCCCTAAAGGACACATTCCCAGGCTAGATATTCTTGCCACTTGGGCCACCGTTACCCCAGGCTGTAGGGGCTAGGACAAAGCACAGCCTGGGCCGGGCCCCGCGGGGGCCGGAGCAGACAGGCTGACTTGATCTCCAGCAAGCTTGGCTCGTAGCCCCTCCTCATGGAGCCACAGGCCCCCCTCTAGGTCCTACACTGATGATACACATGCCCTTGCTGGAAGGCAGCTGGAGACAACCAGCACTGGGGCTGTGTGTATGTGGTGGGGACCTGGCCTGAGGCCAAGAGAAGGCCCCTGTGCTCTTAGATCCTCTGGGGCCAGCCCACCCTCCACACCCACCCATGCTGGAATGGAGGGAGACAGAGCCCCAGGAGGCCCGGGGTGGGCCTAGAAGAGTCCCAGCAGCAACCACCTGGGGCTAGGGGAGGGGATGTCTGTGAGATTTAGGTCGGGGTCCGAACACCCCGACAGAGAAATTCAGGCGGGAACCCATACCATAGTTTGGAGGCACAGGGCCCAGGCTTGAGTGATCCTGGCCTGATGTAGGGTCAAGAGATCCTCCCCGCCTAGCGGGCCCTGTAGGTGGGGACCAGGAACTATAAATCACAGGGTGTGTGCTCCCCAGTACCTGGTAGGGAAGCCACCTCCGCCCTCAAGCCCTGGTGGTATGCCCTGTTCAGGGACCCCGGAAGTCTAGGTCCATGCCTAAAGAGTGGGAGCTGGTCATTTGCCTGTGTTTTGCAAGTCAAGTGAGCTTGCAGGTCCCTTCCGGGTACAGGTGTACCTGGGGAGGTGGGGTGGGAGTGGGGGAACAGGGTCTCTTGGCATCCCAGGCCCGCACCCTGCCCTCCCTCTTGAGCATCTTGGATACAGGGCAGGCCCAGAAACAAGGGGTGCGGGCGAGAGATCCCCTTGGCCGGGCTTTATTTTCCAGGAGGGCTTTAAAGGGGAGTCGTGACAAGGTCAGCATGGAGAAAGGAGAAAAGGTAGGGACGCGACGGAGGGTGCGGGCCTCGGGGCAGCCGGACCTGACTCCCGCCCATCGTCGCCCCCCAGCCTATTTCTCCCTGCAGGTGATCTCGGCGCGCAGGGTCTTCCGCGTGTCGCCGCCGCTCACCACCGGGCCGCCGGAGTTCGAGCGCGTCTACCGAGCCCAGTGAGACTGGGCGGGAGGGCGCGGGGCAGGAAGGGGGCGAGCCCGGGTAGCGGCAGGGTCCGAGCCCCCCCACGCCCCGCCGGCGCCCTCATGCCGCCCGCCCCCACCGCAGAGTGAACTGCAGCGAGTACTTCCCGCTGTTCCTCGCCACGCTCTGGGTCGCCGGCATCTTCTTTCACGAAGGTCTGCGCTCGGGACAGGCGCGCGCGCCCCGCCGCCCCGGGGTCCCGCGCCAGCCGGCTCAGCCTGCCCCTCTCGCAGGTACGGCGGCCCTGTGCGGGCTGGTCTACCTGTTCGCGCGCCTCCGCTACTTCCAGGGCTACGCGCGCTCGGCGCAGCAAAGGTGAGGACCTGGGCGGGCCTCCGGGGAGGTCACGAGGGGCCGGGGAAAGGGGAGGGCGTGGGGGCTTGTGGGCGGGGTCCTGACGGCCCGGGCCGGGGGGCGGGGCCGCAGTCGCCCCGCCTCCCCGCTGAGCCCCGCCCGCAGGTTGAGCCCGCTGTACGCGAGCGCGCTCGCGCTCTGGCTGCTCGTGGCGCTGGCGGCGCTCGGCCTGCTCGTCCACTTTCTCCCCCGCGCGCTGCGCGCCGCGCTCCTCGCACGGCTCGGGAAGCTGCTGCCCGGGGCCTGAGGTGGAGGACGCGCGGTCGGCGGAACCGGAGAAGAGCCGGAGCTTCCGGGAGGACGGGAGGGGTGCTCGCCCCATCCCAATCTCCAATTAAAGTGCCGATGACCGGACCCCGAGCGCATTCTCTGGGTCGGAGGGGTTCGCGTACCGCGCGCTGTGGAGCCCAGCCCGGGGCCGCGGCAGTCGGGTGCGCGTCCCGGGGGTGGGGCTGCGGAAGGACCGGGGCCGCCCTTCTCGCGGGGGCTCACCCCGCGGCGCCTCCTCCCTGCGTTCAGCGCTCTCCTCGCCTGTCCCCTCCTCTGAGGCCTGCCGCCTCCTCACTGTCCCCCAGCCGCCCTCTTCCTCGTCCCCCGGCTTTCACAGCTGACACCAGGGCCATTTTCCGGTCCGCACTCGGTGCCCGGCGTCCAGCAGCACGTGGTGTGGGTGTTCAGGGCCCCCCGCGGCGGAGCCGTGGGGGCGACGACCAGTGCGGGCAGTGGAGCTGTGACAGGCGCTCTCGGGGGGGAAACGTCCTGGTGCTTGGGGGACCAGACCTGGGCAGGCCTGCTGGCCGGACGGAGCGTCCCTGAAGAGGTGAATTTTTAGCCGAGACGCCAGAGGAGAGGAGCTTTCCAGGCGGGGCAGCCGCGCGTGCACGGGCCCCCGAGGTGGACGGCAGACCCTAAAACGTGTCAGAGACTGGGGGGTGGGGGGCGTGGCGGAAGGTGCGCGGGGCCTTGGGGACCGTGGACGAGGGCAGGGCTGGGACTCACGAAGTGGGAGATCCGGGATGCCTTGGGCTTGAGAGGAGCAGGCAGTTGGGGCGGGATGATGGGAGCTAGGGGGCGCGCTGGGGCGGGGGGCGGCGGTCAGGAAGCAGAGGCGGCTTTGGGCGCCGGGCCCCCCGATTCCGCGCCGCGTCCACCCGCGAGTCACCCACCGGCGGCCGAGGTCGTGCGGCGCTGCACGGAGGGCCGAGGTGGCAGCGGGCACGGGTGGCACTGGCCTCCCGCCACCAGCCGGAGCTCTCGCAACACTCACACTGGAGGCACGCACTTCATTAACCCTTTATTACAAGTCACGCTCTTATAGAAGTATATGTGGACTTACGTGAAAAAATCAAATGTATCCAAGAATAAAAAACACAGCACATAAAGTAGTATATGCATTCCAGTGTTCGCGCCGGAGACAGCGGGCGCCCAGGAAAAAGCTCTTCTAAAACGGCCTGGCTCTAGCCGGCCGGGGATGCGAACGGTTCCGGCCGGGATGCACGGGCCGGCCTCAGGCACAGTGTGGGGGCCGCCTGCCTCCTCCCGCGGCCGGGCGGGCGGGGGCAGCACCAGCTCCTGGGGCCTCCGGGCCAGCGGCGATCCCAGGCCTGCGGAGCGGGGCGCCGGGCAGAACCCCTCAGGCTTGGGGCGGCGGCGCCGGGCCCTCCGGGGGCGGCAGCGACGACATCCCAGGTCTCCCAGGGGGCTTCAGGGCCAGCCAAAGTGCACCCTCAGAAGCCCGCCGCTTAGTCGGCCTTTTTCAGGAAGATCTAGAAGAGCCGGGCTCGGGGTCAGCTGGGGGCCTCAGCGCTCGGCCGATCGGCTCCGTGGAGCGGCTCCCTCACCCGCCCCGCTTACCTCGCTCAGAATGACCCACACTGGGGAGTCTGTCTGGATGGAGAGGCGCAGTGCTTCCAGGGGGCCAAAGGCAGGGTCCACCTCGCCCTCTGCCACACCCTTGTAGAAGGAGCCTGGGGGAGGGCAGCGCTGAGCCACTGCCCCCAGACCCCCGCCCAGCCCAGCCTCCCCCCCATCTCCACCTGCCGGCCCCCCACTCACCTATCTGGAGGTAGCCGTCAGGGCTCCGAGGGTACCGGAGGGTGGCTGAGCGGCCCTCCTGCAGGGCCTCCTTGTCTGACTGGGGGTTCTGGGGGCAACATAAAGGGGCTGAAGCCAGTGGCTGTGGGAGGGGTGGGCCTTCAAGAACGTCCACCCCCTACCACACTCACATCGAAGGGCAGCACCTCCACTGACGTGTTGAAGAGCTTGTCCTCTGGGTGCTCGATGTTCCCGCTGCGGAAGAAGAACCTGCGGCCAGACAGGCCTGTGAGCTGCTGTGCGGGTGGGGCAGAGAAAAGGCCCGGCTGGGCCCAGGAGTGTAGCAGGTGGGCCCTGGGGTGCTGAGTGAGGCCGGGGACCACTCCAGGGTGCGGGGGGGGGGGGGGGCAGCCATTGGGCTGTGCAACCAGGGACGAAGGTGATGGGCCACTGTCACAGAGCTCCTGTGGGCACTGCCTTAGTCTTAGTAGCTACCATGATGAACCCCACTCTTCAGATAAGGAAACTGAGGCAGGGTGAGATTAAGTGATTCGCTGGGGGCCCAAGAGGGGCAGGTGGTGAGGCCTATCCCCTGGTGGCCACCCTGCCCCTCCCCCAAGGTGGACCTATGGGTGTGGGCACTGACCTCTCAAGACGCAGCGGCTGGAAGAAGCGGAAGCGAATGAAGTCCCCGGCAGCAGGCGTGAAGGCCCAGAAGAAATCCTCACGCAAGTAGGCCTTCTCTAGAGTGAAGTGCTGGTATGTCTTGAGGCTTGTGCTCACCTCAGCCGGTGGGTTCACATGCTCCTTCCTCAGTGCCTGCTTCCCAAAGTCCTTGTCCTGCCACCCAGGAGGGACAGCGCAGCTGGAGAGGGCCCCTCTAGAGAGGGACTTGCCCTGCCCCACCCTCCCACCCCCATCTCCCCCTCCCCCCACAGCCCCGGGCTCTGCCCATCCCCAGCCTGTCCCCAGCCAGGGCCCAGGGTGGCGCAGCCCACCTTCAGTTTCTGGATCTTGCCCGCCAGCGAGGAGTGCGTGCCCACGTGCTGGAAGAGGGATGGCTTGAAGCGGATCCGCAGGTTGGCCTTCTGCCGGTCGCAGTGCTTCTGCAGAGGGATGGGGATAGCAGAGGGCTCAGCTCCGCTGTCTCTTCGCGACGGTCCATGCTGGAGACTGCGTGCCCCCCCCCCCCGCCCCCACACTTGGTGGTGCTGCCCTGCTCACCGCATCCTTCTCGGGGTTGCAGACCTTCACCCACAGAATGTGGTCCAGGAGCCAGTCAATGGGCTTGTCCCGGTAGAACATGAGGATGAACTCCACAATCAGGCTCAGGTCCAGTGACTTGAACATCTTCCCTGGGGGTGGGAAAGGGGGGAAAGGGTGCTCGGTGGGCAGCTCTGCCCTGCCCTACTTCCCCTTAATCCCTGTGGCGGTGGTTCTCTAAGGAGGCTCGCGCAGCAAGCCCTATGGGCAGCTGCAGGCAGGTGCGGGCACTAGGGGATGGACGGAGGTGGTGAGTCCAACATCTGGAGGCAGAGGGAGGGTGGGAACAGGCCCGCTGGGGCCGCAGGGGACCTTCCCGGAAGAGCTTGCCAGTATGACCCTGTGTGGTACCAGGGCTGCAGGGACAAGGACAGAGAGGCAGATGTCGGCTGGACTGAGGGGCCCTGGTCAGGTCTGCGGCATGGGGCGGGGGCGGGGGGTGGCGCACCAATGAAGCCCAGCTGGGAGAACTCCAGGATCATCCAGTCCTCCGAGGGCTGCTGGAGTGCGAAGTTCTTCATGGTGCTCAGGTAGTTGGGCTTGGCGACAATGTCATCCTCCAGCTGCATGGGGGGGGGGGGGCAGAAGGGGGGCTGGACTCAGGATGGGCACAGGGACAGGGTGGGGCTCACCACCCAGGCCCAGCCAGGGTCCAGGGCCGGTGGGGGGCAAAGCAGGGTCCCGGTGCTGACCTGCACGTAGTAGATGCCTTTGGACTGCGCATACATCATGAGGAAGCAGTAATCGAGGTTCTGTTTGGTCCTCCACCTGCGGGGCAGGGGCAGGGGCTCAGGAGCTCCGACCCCCCGCCCAACCCCATGCAGCGGTCCTCTGATGGAGAAACGGACGCACTGCAATGAAGTGCCTGGGACTTGGGCACTGACAGACCGGGTTTCTCACGCAGCTGGGCAGGTGGCCAGGGGCATGGGGAAGTGGGCAGTGCTCGTACCTGACTCTCTCCTTGGGGTCCCCAAAGGACTCTCGGAGGTGGGAGAAGTCAGGGTAGAAGTGGGGGGAAGGGGAGATGACTTCCAGGAGCCCGGAATGGATCTCCGTGGGGAACCTGGGGGGACCAGGAGTCCAGTGGGTGTGCAGCCTCCAGGCCATAGCAGTTGGGGCAGCGCTGAGCTAGCCAGACCCTGTCCCTTTGCTCAGGCCCAGCAGGCAGCCATCACCCAACGGCACAGCCACCCTTCGGAGACAGTGAGGCTCCAGAGGGGCTGGGCCACCTCTACACACCCACCCTCTTTCAGCAAAGAGGCAAAGCACCCTTTCCCACAGGGGGAAGGCAGGATCATGCAGGGGAAGCAGGCACCTGCCTGCCCCGCACCCCGCAGAGCCCCACCCCCCACCAGCTTTATGGGTCCGTCAGTACTCACAAGGCTTTGATGTTCTCTGTCACCACCGAGGTGTACTGTGGGTCAGTCTGTGGGGAGACCAAGTGCCCTCCCTAAGCCTGGCTGCCACCCCAAAGGGCCTGGAAGAAGGGGCTAGGGGGGAAAGGGGGCGGGCTTCAGATGACCCCATGCACAGAGGGAGTGAGCCCCCCATCCTGAGGGCCGAGTAAGTCTGGGCCGGGGGAGGTGGGGGGGCGGGACGGGTAGGGCACAGGTGCACTAGGTCACTGGCGTCTCCACCAGGGGGCGCTGAAATGGTTCTTTCTTTTTAACTTGTCTTCATAAATTTGTGAATGAAACTGACAACTGAACCTCTGATAGTTTTTTCCTCCGGAATGTTGCTCGGTTTTCATTTCTCCTTGTTATTTTGTGCCCTGCGTTCTCTGAATGCTCCCACCCCCGCCCCCCAGCCCACTCGCCTCGGCGATCAGCACCACGATGACCGAGTCCTCCTTCTCCTGCGGGCTCAGCTCCGAGATGAGCGAGTGCAGCGTGTCCGTCAGGTACGAGTGCACCTCGCGCCGCACGCTGGGGATGCCCATCACCACCGACACTGCGGGGGGGGTGCGGAGAGTCGGTACCGGCCGGATGCCGGGGACCGCCCCCCGCCCCCGGCCCCTCCCGGGACCCGCCCCTACCTCCAGTGCGGCCCTGGCCCACGCGCACTGCAGGCTGCAGGCTGCTTTCCTTGGCCAGCAGGTGCGGCAGGTGGTGGAAGACGGTGGGCAGGTGCAGCACGTGCTTGTGGGAGACGTTCCACGGCTTCAGTCGCGGATCCTCTGGGTGGGTCGGGAAGGGACGGGTCAGACGAGGCGGCCTGCCATCAGCCCCCGCCTCCCGGGCCACGGCGGGCGCGGCTCCAGCGCTCACCAGTTAGGCGGCCCCAGGTGCGATTGCCCTCCCCCTCTCGCAGCGCCTGCCTCTCCGACACGGCCCTCTTGATCTCGTCCAGCACCAGGTTGAGCTCCTTGGAGCGCTTGAGGCTCTCCTGCTCAGCCGCATGCAGCCGGTCACGCAGCGCCAGGAACTCCCGCTGGTACACGTCCACCACATCGCCTGTGGGTGGTTCGCACGCTGTCACCAGGGGGCAGCCGCGCACTGACCTACTGCCCCTTGAGTGTACCAGCGCCCACAGTTTCGTGCCCATCTGCAAATGTTCTTGTGCCTGCCCACATGCCAGCTCCGCGTGTGTGTGTGTGTGGGGGGGAGTGTACATAAGGGTCACTCTGAGGTCACACTGACACACTGGGGGGAGAAAAATCTTCACTGGTCCGATTGGTACTCTCCAGTACTCTCCCCCTACCCTGCTATCTTCACCTTTGAGGAGACATCTGAGGGAGGGCTGCAGGATCCTTCCAGCCCCAGGTGGGGCAATCCTTGGACTGAATCTTCACCCAGTGGCTCCCAAAGTCCCCCTCTTGCTTCTTTTTGCAGTATCTGCTCCTTCCAGGAGGTGCGATGCCCAACGGCCCATCCAGGGCACAAGGACCCAGCCCTTCCTCAAGAGGCTTCTTAGCTCCCTGGCCTGTCCCCCTCCCTCCCCTCGGCCTCTGCCCTTTGCTCCCCACTCGTGCTCACAGAGGAGGTCACAGGCAGCTAACCCTACCCCCAAGGCCCTCTGGGGATAACCCTCCCTGGGCTCTCATCCTGTCCTCCAAGTAGGACAGGGCTCCGGTGCCCATTCTGCACTAAGCACTGACTCTGGCTTCTCCATCTCCCTCCGGGGGAGGCTGCTGCAGTTACGGCCTCCCAGGGCTCCCAGGGCTCCGAGGAGCAGATAAAATGGAGGAACTACTCCCGGGTCACTCAGTGAGTCCGCAGCAGTGGGGCCACACAGCTCCCAACGCCCGCAGACCTGCTTCTCTGGAGACCCGTGCTGGGCATGCGCCACCTCGAGGGGTCTGCATGCCCCCCCCCACCGCAGGACCTGTGTCAGAACCTCCAGCCGGGCCCCAGCTACCAGCATGGTAGGCAAGCCAGGAGCACCACCAGGGTGGGGCTTCCTGACAGTGGAAAGGGATCCGCAGGGTGCCAAGCACCTGGCTCCACTGGTCCGGCCGGGACCAGTGAGCAAGAATAAGACAAACAACACCCCCCCCACCCCGCCCCCTGAGGCCGGTGCAGCCGGTCCCACGGGGCTGTGCACTCAAGGACTGTTCTCATCTCGCTTCTGCTCTATTTGCCATCCCGGACAATGGCTTTTCCTTGTCTCCCGTGTCTTTGCATGTGCCGTCTCTTCTGCCTGGGATCCCCTTTCTCTTCTGGGTCTAATGAAAACCCATGTAGCCTTTGAGGCCTAGTTTCAAAGTCTAGTGTTCAAGTCTAGGAAACCTTCCAGAACTCCCCTCTCATCCTCTAGGCAGCTCTCCTGTTCCTTGATTCCCCTGTGGGATCCCAGCCCCCAGAATGCCCTGGCATAGTGCCGCTATGTGCACCAAGGGTCATGACCAAGGCAAAGTTCTGTCATCTCAGAATACAAGCCCCCCCTTAAGCTGCATGGGGCAGAGGTCTAAGAGCTAAATCCCAGGGGAAGAGGGAGGGGTAGCCTAGGGTGGGGGGGGGATGCAGAGGGGGAGGCCAGGGAGGTGAGCAAAGCAGGCCCTCTCTAAGGCACTCCATACTCATCTGCTTGCCCCTTAGGCACAGCCCTGCAGGGGGAGGGAGGCGAGAGTCGGGTTACAAGATCTGTGAGGCTCTGCGCTGGGTTCAGTGGCCGGGTTACCCTGGAAACCTGACCCCTTGAGCAGAAGCCAACCACCCCCATCAAACCCTCACCCACCCAGCCCAGAGTGGGGTGGCACCAGGCGCCAGGAGCGTCCTCCTCTGGGGCAGCTGCCCCATAGGGAAGGGGGACTGGAGGTGCCCAGGCCCCCAGGAGGGAGTTCAGAGCTGCTCTGTGAAGGGGGGGGAGGCCTCTCTCCCCTCTGACTGCTGCCCCTCCCTGGTCTTCTCCGTTAAGTAGGCTGAGCTCAGTTCCACCTTCACCTGTCTGGGCACACAAGCCAGGTGGGCAGCCGTGGGCACCTGAGTCACCCTGGCCACCGAGGCCTGGGCACAGCCTGCCCCCTACCCTGGCCTCCTTTCCTCGGGGCCTCCCCCCACCCCAGGTGCTGAACTGCCTCTGTTTATCCGGAGGGGATGGGCCCTGGCTCCTGCCCACACCAACCCTTCTGTCATTTCCCTCCACGCCGCAGGCCCTGTCCCTCAGCAGCCCGCCCCCGCTCCTGCCCTGCCTGCGAGGCCCCCAGCCGGACCGACGTCCCTGACTTCTCTGCTCCTGGGTCCACTGTCTCTGCCTCTCAAAGCCAGAAACTCAAGCTCTGTGCCTGCCGCTCCCTGGGCTGAGCCTTATGTGCCAGGGCTCTGCCAAGCCATCCTGGCACCCCTACGACCTTTTTGGGCTGCGTGGCTGGACTGTCGCATTGGATGGGCCAGGGGATGCAGCTCAAGGGAGGGGAGGGGCAAAGGCCTGGGGAGCCCCTGGCCTCTCGGGGCGGGACCGAAGGTCCTGGGAGCTAGGGCTGAGGGCGCTTTGGCTTCTCTTTCTCTCCGCACCTTCCTAACCCAGGGAGGAAGGGTGGAGGGCCGGGCCCCAGGTGCAGCTGGCCCTAGGGAAGGCCGGCAGCTGGGGCAGCTGGGGCCAGACTAGTGGCACCTTTCCCACCCCTCCCCCCACCCGAAGGCAGAGTAATCAGGACACCTGAGGCCCATGGACCACAGTCTTGCCCTGGTTCCCTCTTGATGGAAGAAACAGATTTAAGAGCCAAGCCGGGCACAGACCATGTGCCATGTACTTAGGGAAGGGGAAGCAGGCTCAGAGGGGCTCAGCAGGTGCCAGGCCCAGTGAGGATGTGGGCTTAACGTGCAGGTGGGGCCAGGGTGTAGAGAGGGCCAGCTGTCCCTCTCCTCTCCAGGCCTTGCAAAGCACCCCTCGCAGGGGTCAAGGAGGGTGTCGGTGGTTGCTGGAGTCCGGCATGCTGGGATGTGGGGGAGGGCTGAGGCCGGCCCGCAGGGGCTGCTGCTCTCCCTGGGGACGGGCCTTCAGCAGGTGCTGGGCTGAGGGCCGGAGTCTGAGGGCTAGTGGGGCTGTTGCACAGATCTGGTCCAGGCTGGCCATGAAAGTGGGTCCCAAACCCAGATCCAGGGTCCAGCTGGCCAAGGCCTGGGTGTCCTTCCTGGCCCCTGGCCCAGGGCTTCCGGGAAGCCACCTGCTCCCGCTGCCTCCTTCCTGTTTGGCTCGCAGCCCACCTTTCTTACAGATCTGGGTCCCTCTGGCCTTCCCCTAAGTACTGGCGCCTGTGCCGGCCCTATCCTAAACCCCTCACTCACTGCAGCTGGAAGCTGGGGTCAGGTCCGGCTTCCCCACGCAGGTGCCTACATGTATGAAGGAGAAGGGTTTGCCTAAGGGCCCAGATTCAGGCTTTTCTTGAGGCCTCCGAAGACCTGGCTTTGCCAGGCCCCCTAAAACAGGGATAGCCCTTGACAGGGAAGTGCCCGGTCACCCCCTCGCAATGCCTCATGGGCTCTTGGGCTTCTGGGAGGACCCCTGCCACTGAGCCCCACATGTCTTTGGCTGGGGTGCTCTACCCACTCCCCAGGCCCTTGGATTGCCAGCCTCCTGGATGACCCCCTCAGAGACGGTGAGCCCTAGGTGGAGCCCCTAGGTGGAGCCCCTCCTGGAGGTCAGTTCCCTGGGGCCAGCAAGGCTCCCAGAGAAGGGCTTGGGGGGAGGTGAGCTGCACTGCAACTCCTGATGTCAGGTTGGGGGCACGTGGCTGTTGCAGGAGGCACACAGGAACTGTGGCCTGGCCGAGGACAGGGTGCAAGGGCTCATCAACCCACCCACGAGCAGACAGATGTGCCCCCACCCATTAGATCTAGCCCCACCCTGGTTTCCATGCCAGTCGGCTTATGTGGCTACTCTCCCAAAGGTCCAACATGCCTTCCTCCTGGTGACACACCCCCCTACAGAGGACTCTGCCCCATTCATGCCTTCTCCCAGGTGACACACCCTACCTACAGACTTCCAGAGAACTTTGCCCCAGCCATGCCCTCCCTGTGCCAAGCCCTAGGGACCTCCCTTCAGGGCTCCTGGAGCCCTGAGGCCCCGACCCAGACAGGTTGGTGGACTCCACTAGGCTGGGCTGGTCAGGCAGGAGGGTCAGGCCCAGCTCCGTTCGGGCTGGGAGGGTCAGGAAGCTTCCAGATCCTCCCTCAGTCATTCCTCCTCCAGCTTCATGTAGCCACAGGGTTGAGAAAGAGGGAAGCAGGAGGTAGGAGGGAGGCAGGGGGTCAGCTGGCCTCAGCCTGATCCTGCTTAGACCTCCAGCAGGAAGGCCAGGAGGCAGGAAGGAAACAGCTATTCCCGGAGGCTCCTATGGTGCAGGCCGGCTGGACAAGGCCTGTGAGGGCCTCCTCAGCCCCTGCCGTCCCAACCAACACGAGGCGACTCCAGCCAGTGCTGGGGCCTGCCCCTACGCCCATCCCCAGGTGTGCAGACCGAGCTCGGAGGACCGTGCTGGTAGACTGGCCAGCCTGCCCAAACTTCAGGTGGGGGGCGGAGGTCCGAGGAGACCACACAAAATAAGTTGAGGGGTAGCCGGGGGCCAGGCGGGCCAGCGCCCAGGTCCCCGCAGAGGAATCCTGGGGCCACATGTCATGGAGGAGGGGTGCGGAGGCCCCGGGGAGCAGCCCCCCACGGTAGGCTGGTGGGGGGGGCGGAGAGGTGGTGGGCGGAGAGGTGGTGGAGGGTGCTGCCCAGATGTCCGGCTGCCCCCCTCACACCTGTCTCGGGAACACGGTACCTGCTCCTGCCCAGGTGCCCGGAGAAGGTACCTTGGGGGCCACCTGGCCACAACCGTCTCCTGACCTTGTGCCTCTGTCCCTCTCTGGAAACTCCAAGGTCCCCGGGTCGCCGGTGGGAGCGACCAGCCCGAGCATGGGCGCAGCCGGTCTCACGGAGGCCGGTCCCGCGGTCCTGAGCGCCGCCCCGGGCCCCCGCGGACCGCTCGGCCCCGGCGGCCCAGCCCAGGCCGGAGGAGAATTTCGCTATTCCGGCAGCAAACAAGTGGGGGCGAGGAGGGAGGGGCGTCCTCCGCGCCGCCCGGGCGGGGAAGGGGCGCCTGCGTCGGCTTCCGGCCGCCTCCCGCCGCCGGACCCTGCTCCGGCGGCCGGCGCCCAGGTGCGGCCAGGTGTGGGACGCGGCGCGGGGCCCGGGGGGGCTCACCTTTCTGGCCGCTGAGCGCCGCGTACCAGGAGAGCGAGAGGAAGGCGCACAGGCAGAAGAGCAGCAGCGTCAGGAAGGTGCCATTGCGGAGCCTCATCTCGGGTGCGCGGCGGGCGCCGGCGGGGCCGAGGCCGCATGGCCCGGGGAGCCGGGGCCGGGGCGCGGGGCCGGGAGGCGGCGGCGGGGTTGCGGGGGGGGGCCCCGGCCCCGGGGCGGGGAGGGGCTGGGGGCCCGGGGCCGGGCGGGGACGCGGGCGGCGCCGGGGGCCCGGCCGGGCGCCGCGCTGACGGCTCCTGGGTCGGGGGGAGCGGCGCGGGCCAGGCGGCGCGGGCGGCCTCGACTGGGCGGCTGGGCCGGGCCGGGCTGGGCCAGGCTGGGCTGGGCGGCGAGAGCCGCGGCCCGGCCTGGATCCGGGGCCGCGGCGGAGTCGGCAGCGCAGGGCGGGGCGGCCCGGATTTAAAGGGGCCGCATCACCCGCTGCCGCCACCAGCACCGCGAGGGGGCGGGGTGGGGTATCGGCTCCCCGGATCCCGCCCGCGCGGCCCGGGACGGTGTCCTCCCCAGCCCCCCGCGTGGGCTCGCGCGGCTCCGGCTTCGGGCCGCCTCGGGTAGATCGAGGCCGGGGCCTCGCGAGTGCGGCTCGGGCTGCGGTGCCGGCGGCGCGCCAGGGGTGGGGGTGGGGGGCCCGGACCCCCGCTTCTTAACCTCTCCATTAGGACCCACCTCCCCTCCCCAGAGACCCGGACCCCACGCCCCCTTTATCCCGGGCCCCTCAGGCCGGTGGGAGGGGGCAAGGTGCGGCTGCGGCTGGCGGTGCCTCGAGTTGGGAGGCCGGCCCGGAGTGGCCGCTGCCCGCACCGACGCCCCCGGGCGCTTCCCCCTCCAGGACCGTCCTCTGGTCGGCGGGGTGGAGGCGTGCTGGGGGCCCCGGAGGCGCTCCTGCTCCGCCGAGTACGGACAATGGGCCGTTTTCAGGAGCAAAAGAGCCGCCGTTACGCGGGTGTTGGGCACAGCGACCAGTCCCGAGCGGGGCTGGCTCCCGGGGCGCTGGCGCGGGTGGGCGGGAGGCAGCGGGCACCGCAGGGTGAGGCGGGCGGCGGCCCCTCGCCGTCCAGCGCCTCCCCCCTCCCCGCGGGGCGCTCCCACCTTCCTTCTTTCCCCAGCCCTCTGTGAACGCGGAGAGGGTCCGAACACTGAAGGGATTCGTGCAGCTGAGGTTCGGGGCAGACATTTGGGGAGCGCCCTTGTCCAATTCCTGGGAGTTCTGGTTCCCAGCATTGCCCGCAGGCTCCTCCCGGTGGAGGTTTCAGCCGGGGAGTCGCTGGGGATTTGTCTTTCTCCTCCAGCGCAGGTCCACACCTGGGGGCAGGATGTGCTGCGGGGAGCGGGGCAGGGTCTGGGCGTGAGCCTCTGCAGAGGGATTTTCGCCGGGAGCGCGTGAGGCAGGGCCACTGGCTGCGGCGGGCGTCCTGGGGACTGATGAAATGACTGGCCTCAGTTTCCCTGCAGGCACAGGTACTGCCCTCTCTACTTGTAATGAGCTCTTTTTTTTAAGATTTATTTTAGAGAGGGGGAGGAAGGGGCAGAGGGAGAGAGAGTCTCAAGCACATTCCACGCTGAGTGCGGAGCCCGTTGTCGCTGGGCCCCATCCCAAGACCCTGAGATCATGACCTGAGCTCAAACCAAGAGCTGGTCACTTAACTGACTGAGCCACCCAGGCGCCCCCTAATGAACTTTATGAACTGACACGAGGCTTGTTGGATTCTTCTCCTTCTCCTTCTTTTTAAGATTTTATTTATTTGAGAGAGAGGGAGAGAACTCGCTCATGCATGAGCAGGGGGAAGGGGCAAAGGGAGGGGGAGAGGGAGAAGCAGGCTCCCGGCTGAGCGGGGAGCCCTAAGCGGGGCTGGAACCCAAGACCCTGGGATCATGACCTGAGCCGAAGGCAGACGCTTAACCCACTGAGCCATTGTCGGAGTCTTCTGAAGGAAACTGTGTTCCTGTGTTTTCACAGGGCATCTGCTGTTTGTGGCTGGGGATAACGGTTTTTCATCTGGGCTGTGATACAGAGGGTTTTGAATTTTTCTAAATATGTGTTCAAGTTTAAAAGTGAGTTGATTTAAGGAAAATGATTAAACCAGTAGAAATTAAAGAGATGGCCTGTTTGTGATGAAAGTTTGGGGGAACTCATTCGAGTTCCCTCCCACTGACACTCTGGCTTTGGGGAGGTGGAACCGGAATCAGGGACGCCCCGGGGAGGTGGGCAGAATCCTGGGGATTGCAGGGCCTCTATCAGGATTGGGACTATCCAGGGCCACGGTGGGGGAGAAGGGTGCTGGTCTACTTTGGGAAGTGGGAGGTCTGGAGTGAAGGGGAGTGGGAGAGGGGCTGGGGGATGTAGGCTGGAGGGGGCCACACACCCCCTGGTTGGGCAGCCAAAGGGGTCCAGGCTATGGCGTTTTGGGGGCAGTCTTTCCCGACCCCGCTAACCAAGCTGCCTTTCTGTGCCTCTTCCCCACTGCTCCATCAGAATCCCAGGAAGGATTCCCCACGCACCTGCCACTTTGTCAACGCCATGCCCCAATGAACGTCCTGCTGGGGATCGTGCGCTAAGGGGGTGGTCATGGCAAGAGAGCAGAAGCCTAACGGGGCCTGCAGAAGTGACATCACTGTGACTCATTTGTTCCTGCATTCATACGTTCATTCATTCTGCCCACTGTGGCGGAGGAGGGGGGGGCCTGGTCCTGCCGTCCCAGCTCCTGGAGGACTCCCAACTTTCTCCTTTGAAACAGGGGAGCGCTTGCTGGGCTCCTGTGCAGTTTTCCACTGCTCTCTGTGCCCTTGCAATAATTCGTTCCCTTCCAGGCCTGGGGAACAGCACCCCCTCCGCCAAGGGTTCAGCTTCTGTGTCGGAATTGGGGATGACAACTCCAATCCCCACCCAGGAGAGAGCATGGAGCCAAATGGGCACAGAAAAGTCCTGCTTTCTCCCCAGACCCCAGGCTGTGTACCCTTCTTCTTCGTTCCTGCTTCCTACAGAGTGAAAATGCCCCCATGTCGGAATCACCTGCCAGCCCTGGAGATTTTCCGGGGGATGGCCCTCGGCGGTGGCTCTTCCTTCCATCCTTCTTTCCTGGGCTTCTCAACCTGTGGTCCAGGGACCCAGAACTGGGGAGGTCTGGGAGTTGAGATGAGAAAGAAAAAGAAGGAGTTAAGATGAGAAAGAAAAAAAAAAATCCATCTTTATTTTCACTGATCTGTAACTGAAACGTGGCATTTCCTCCAATTATGAATGGAGGCAGGGAAGTCCGGCAGAATTAGTGGTGCTTAAGACCATTGCACAGAAATCACAGGGATTTTCAGGGTACGGGTGTTGCAGACACCTCCAAATAGGCATGACATGCTCCTACTTGGCAATTCTGGTGTTTATTAGCCCTGCCTCTCTCTATTATGATGTAATGAGTTAATAAAGAATCACGGGTGGGATGCCTGGCTCAGTCGGTAAAGCATGTGACCCTTGATTTCAAGGTCCTGAGTTCAAGCCCCACACTGGGCGTAGAACTTACTTTAAAAAAAAAAAAAAGGATCACAGGTGCTTCTACGTCACAAACTTGTGGGGCTTTTTGTTTTTATTTATTTATTTTGAAAAAGTAGTCTCCATGCCCAATGTAGGGCTTGAATTCAGGACCCTGAGATCAAGACCCGAGCCAGCCAGGCAGGCGCCCCACAAATCTGTGTTTTTATATTTTGATATTTGCATTTCGATATTAGCACTCCTTTTGTAATGCAATATATTTTAAGCATTTCAAAACATGGTTCTAAGCAGGGATCCTTTGCCTTCTCCAGATGCTAAGGGAATCTCCTGCCCCTGTGAGAGTTTGGAAGTCCTGCCCTAAGCCTCACCTCGCCCCCTCAGGGGGGCCCATCTTTCCTTGGACGCCTCATTTCCATTTTCATTCATAACCCACGTTCTGAGTGTTCACCATGTGCCAGCCACGCATGGGTCACCAGCAACACCAGGGACCCTCCCTAGGACACTACCCTACCAGCCTCCTATCCCTGGCTGGAAAAGCAAAGTCCCTGGGGCTCAGAAAGCTTACAGTGGCGGAAATTCCCTTGTCCAAAGACAGTGGGCCTTCCTGGGAAAATGAGGTTAGTAATATGCCCCAGTGGAGAAGGATGGCTTGGCCTCCGCAGAGGGAGCTGGCTGGATCAAACGCCTCTGTGGAAGGAGTCCCCAGGCCCCCAGGGGTCTGGTCCTTGCACACCTCGTCAGCGATGGGGGTTTTTACCCTTGGAGCTACGGGGAGCGTCCAAAGCAGGGAGAAGAGTCCGGGCTGCTGTGGGATTGAGACAGGCATACGGACATTTTGAAAATATCACTACAGCAGGCAGGGAGAAGGGGCTGGAGGGAGTAAGAGAGGAAGCAGGGAGATGAACCAGGGGGCTGTTGTAGGTGAAGGAGTCCAGAATACGTCACTGTGGCATGAAAATTGTATCAAGCTGAAAGCATTTGAAAATAGGCTTTTTCTTCAACTTCCTTATCTGCCTAAAAGCAAGGCCTCCCAAAATAACTCAATTGTCCTAAATCCCCTCCAGCATGGCTTTTATTACCTGATAAACCCATTGTCACAAAACCATCAATAATACCTCTCCTCTGTTCTCCTGAGGGCCCATTTTATCTTTCCTAAAAGTATTTTTGTTTTCCTCATAAGTACCTTCTCCTCCTCTGCTTTCCCTATTAAGTTGGTATATAAGCCCCCAAATTCTAAGTACTGGAATAAAAACCAATCTTTTATTTTGCGAATCTGTTTTTTTTTTTTTGGTCAGTTTAAT